CTATTGCAGCAAGTAATGTATTCTGTCCTTACTGTCTATGCCAATAGAAAAACAAGCTGGTTCTTAATGTTTAATGGAGAATAATTGATTAAGTTCTTTACCATTTGGAAAAATAGGATTTATCTCAGATGAAAGTATTGTAGGCATGGAAGACACGAAGTCCTAAATTACTAGCCTGACTAAAAGAAATGTACTTGCCTACACAAATGCACATAAACAAATTATACATATTTTTTTTATTTAAGGCATTTCTGCGAATTGGACAGGTCGTGTGAGAACGTCGGAGTGTATTTTTTGTGGCGCTTTGCAATACTGTTGTATGCTTTACTTTAGTGTTCCATTCTGCAATTCCTTGTTACACACTGCATGTTACTGTGAAGCTCCGGAGTATACTCCTAAATCATATTACTGAAGCTCTGATGCACATTGATTATAGAAGACTAATACCTTCTACATCATATCTGTAACTCTCACTATCTTCCCATGAGAGTCACTCCGCTCTCTCCATTTTGCTTATGTTTGACAGAGGTGAATGCCAGTTTATAGTGACATATATCACAGAAATCTGGGGAACTGGCTACACCTATATCAGCATGAAACATAACATAGTGTAAAACAGTTACAAATAGTATTGTGCGCTCACAATATGAAAATGTCAAACAGCCTCTAAGGTGCCTCCTCTGAATTGTGGGGGGCAACTGTAGACCCTCTCTCCACTTCCCAGGCAAGGATCACAGCAGAGTGAATATCCAGTTATACTACAGATGGGGATCTACATTTTGGCCACCCTTGCAATGGAAGGGCGGGACAGAGAACTTCTTGCACCATGGCTCTATCCACGTTAGGTCCACCACTGTATCAATGGACACTACTAACATCTACAATATATAAGAAATTCCCAGTTTCCCACTGGCTCCTTTCACAGAATTATTGAGAATGCAAAGTAAGTTATATCATTTATATTTATAGTCACTTATTCCAAGTAGAAAATGACAAATATATACAATCAAATTCAAAATTGTAAATGCGCGGTACAAGTGCATTTTGCATGCGTTCTTTAGAATTTAAAACGTCTGTGTATTTGTTTTAGAGCAAAATGACAGTATGTGTCCTGCGTTTTAGGTAGTGCAAATAAATTAAATTCCTTTTAACCTACACCGAACTAATTGATCCATCCGGGGTTTACCTGTGCAGTCCTATTCAATAAATAAAACTCCAAAGGTAAACAGACGGTTTGATTCGTTTAGCTGTATTTTAAAAGGAATCAAATTCATTCTCGCCACTTTAAATGCATTAGTCTGCGAGAAGCGTGATTAGATGCATAATTAAGATTGTTAAAGAATAGATGGGGACTCAGCACTTTGCAGTTAATATGCTTATTAAACTGACAATGCAAACTAAGTGGCCTCTATTAAGTGTACCATAGAGGAGGCGGGCGGCCTGCCCCTGGCATTGGATTATGCTGTGTTAGCAGCTGGCACTGCTCCTCCATTGAGCATAGTACATTTTGCCGTCTGGTGCCAGACCTGCCCTGACTCAGCATGCTCTTTAACTCTTCGTCGTGCCTGAAGGGGAGGTTAGTGCTGTACTGTTGGCACTAGTTTCTGTTATATAACCCACACAAATGCTTCAAGCTCTTAAAATTCTCTCAAGTAGTCACATGCCAGTGAACGTCAATGCTGTAACCTTTTCACTGCTGTGGGATCACGCAATGCTTCATAATATTGTACATTTCTGACCTTGTTAAAAGTGAAAGGGATGTATTTTCTTGAATGTAGCAGCGAAGAGCCATTAATACAGGAGACCTTGCTATAAGTGAAAGGTTATTTGGCAGGGTAGCATTAACTATAGCGTGGAGACTTTTAGTATTGGAGACAGAAAGCACTTAGTATTTGAAAAGACTTTGAAGAATCCGATGTCTTATACGATAAAATGGACGAGTCCTTTGGGGATTATTTGCCGATTATTATAATCATTTGGTGGCAGATTCAGATTACCTGCATTCACCACGTATTATATATGTCTGTCATTTCTCTCAATACATGCAGTGACCACTCTGTGTCCAGTGCTCACTCAATTGCTTCGAGAAATTTATTGCAACATGCACTGTTGTGTATATATAATGTCATCACACATGTGGATCTTGCTACATACCAGGAAAGGCTACAGGAGGGATCGCTGTCAAAACAATTCTTTCAGTACATAATACACTTGCAGTACTGTGTAATCTGCAAATATTCCAGTTATGTCCAGTGCACTTATTTCAGCTGTGTGACCAAGCACACTGATGGTCACAGTCCTCAGTACAGAGAGGGCTGAGGGTAATAGACCAAGCCAATACAAAGCTAGAAACTTCCAGCGAAACAGTCTTAATTTCAATCACAGAAATTAATTGGAATTGTGTTAGCGTAAACCAAACGGCTAGGCGTAGCAGCCCCACAGGTGCCAAATAGAGGATTTGAACCTGGGTCCTTCAATGTCCTGGGCCTGCTATACTGCCTCTGAGCGACAGCATATTCCATTATGAGTAACTCTATCCCTGTTATACCTGGCTATGTCTGCAGCAATAGCTGGACTTCATCTGTGGCTATTACCCATGCTTCACCTAAGGCAGATCGCTCATCAGCTGGGTATAAAACACTGTTCCTGCTCTCTAGTTCTAGTCTAGTTTAGTTCATGCTTTCTAGTCTCCTGAGCTTGTTCTCCAGATTGCCCCCGGCTTCTGACCTTGGCTCAACTCCTAGTTTATTCTGACCTCTGGCATCCTCTGACTTCAGCTTCACCTGAACCATCTTTCTGCTTGTGTCCTTGCCTGTACTGCGAATTGAAACACCTTTCCTGCCTAGCCCCCGTGCACGGATTCACAGTCTGGGTGGCTTCTTACCTGGTCACCTTGGACTGTGTTTATCTGCAAGGGTAAGCGTACATCTCTGTACTTCGGGCTCCCACCTCAGGTAAGACCCTGACAAAAATGCTAAAGTGTAAGCTAAATTTTGCAATGCTATTTTCAATTTAAAGGAACACTCCAGACCACATAAAGCACTTCAGCTTGCTTAAGTGCATTATGTATCAAGAGCGACTTTACTAAAATAAATAATAAAATAATCCAACAACGCGTTTCACCAATAGGGCCTTTTCAAGTAGCCTACTTGAAAAAGCCTAATTGGTGAAATGCGTTGCTTGATTATTTTTCATTAATTGCTTTATATTGTTGGGGATTGTTCCACCCAGGCTGCAAATACACATAAAATCAATTTCTCACAAAACTGTGAGTATATTTTTAAATTCTATCCATATATAATATTACGCAGAGAACACCTGATGGACACCAAGAAAGTTGTCCAGTTTGATTGCTTACCACGCTAGGGTGCCAGCAAACTCAGTGTGGTTAAAATGCTTGCATTGTTCCTTTAAAAGTAAAAAAAGTTTAAAAGTTTTTTTTTAATATTGTAATGAAACATTTCAATATTCTAACAGTGTTCTCTTTTTTTTCTTATAACAGCAGGCAGTGTTTGTTTAACCGTTTTCTTTGGACTAGGCTGAGCAACATTTATCATTTGTATGCTGTTAAAGTACCCAGAGGGTTAATATGTGCCAATCTTTTCTGAAGAATTCAAGAGCATAATGTTTTCCTAGAATAAGTATTTATTTCATAACAAACAGGTGGTAACCTTTAAAGAGGCATTAATAAATTCTCTGTAGGTGCCGCAAAACGATTCAGGTTATAGAGTTAATATTATCTATTTATATACAAGCCTTAGGGCAAATAGTCTGTATGTTTTATTCCATTCATTACAGCTCCATCTGCATGTTATTATAATTGATATTGAATGTAGAAAATGAATATATCTACCCAGTGTGGAATAAAAAAGCCATGTTAATGATTCTGCTAACATTTACTGGAAAGTCCTATTACTAATCAGTCATCTTGTGAAGGCAACCTCACTCAGCCTAGCATCTCTGGATGAAGGCTCCCAAATTGAAGATTATGCATCTATTCTGTTCTGTTTATAAAAAGCACCAGGTGATAAGATTAATCAACAGCAATTTAAAATGTACACAATGTGCTTTTAAAGTATCAGGGACGCGAGGCAAACAAGGCATTTGCCTTGGGCGGCATTTTTCAGGGGGCGGCAAAAACCGCCGCCCTGAAATGCCCAGGGCAAATGCCTTGTTAGCCTAGCGACTAACAGACATGCTGGGCTGGGCGGGCGGGCGCTGGTGGGCGGCTGGCGAGGGAGCACTTCCTCTGAGCTGTCTGCTCAGCTCCCTTGCGCGCCGCAGAGTGAGGCTGGGAGCCGGAACATGACGTCATATTCCGGCTCCTAGCCTCACTCTGTGGCGCGCGAGGGAGCTGAGCAGAGAGCTCAGAGGAAGTGCTCCCTGGCCAGCCACCCGCCCTCCCAGCCCAGCAGCCACTGGACCACCAGGGAGATAGAGAACTCCCCCCCCCAGCATTCCCAAAGGTAAGGAGGAGGGGGGGAGAGGGTTAAATAAAAAAAAATAAAAAAGGTGTTAATGTGAGTGATTGTGTGTGTGTGTCTCTGACTGTGTGTGTGTCTCTGGCTGTGTCTGAGTCTGACTGTGTGTGTTTGTGTGTGTCTGACTGTGTGTGTCTGTGTGTGTATTTAGAAGGTGGCGCGGCGGGAGAGGGGTGCCTAAGTTTTGTCCTGCCTAGGGCAGCATAAAACCAGGATACACCACTGAAAGTGATACAGTTCACATAAAGCTGTATCTCGTACCAGATCACTACCCAGCATAATGGCTCTCATGATATACTCTTTAATAATAAATATCCAAGTTTGTGTTATATTTATTAATTTTCGTTCCATATAATCTGTGTTCCGAAATGACTAACATGCCTGCTCTTGCGTCTTTCATTCTTCTCCTAATGTATTTAATCATAACTATGTATTTTATGCCTTAACAAGTTCCATTTATTTTCCATATCTTCTTTCACATAGAGTGCCTTTAAATGATGGACTGTCCTTTTGTCAGACTTGTTATTTTTAAGCTCACTTGAGTTTGACATGTTTACACTAAATGACTCCTACATCCAGGAAAAAAAAGGGTAGATGTTGTTTTTGAGTGTGAGTTAAGGAGGCCTTTTTAAACATATCTTACAGGATCCACATACATGGTGCATTTATTGCATTGCCGAACTGTCTGTCTGTCTGTAGAATCGATCTGTTTATTTTTGTATCAGACTTGCTTTGAATGTTTACCTTATATAACCCATATTTATATTAGCGAATGAAATCCTTCAGCATGACTTGGCAGTAATATATCCTTTCCTCTAACAGCATTATGTATGCTGAGACAGTCTAATACATTTGCTCCATTGATCATTGACCGGTCTGACCTTCTAGCACAGTGACATCAAGAAAGAATGTCTCTAACAAAACGCCTCTGTTCTCCCTACTTTCAGGCACATATACCGATAATTCCTCTATATTATCACATACACCAGAGAAAAGTTTGCTTTACAACCGTCATTAAATATAACTCTGTGTTTTACTTTAAAGAAATGAAGGCGCAAAATGCTATCTTTCTAAAATTGCATCCCACCGCCAGCTCAGAACTGAGAGAGGAGGGCACTGGAGTGCGAAATGGTTTGCTATGTTTAATACTGCTGTCACCTAAAAAAAAGTATTTACTCTATTCAGTTTTAAACAATGTTGGCAAGAGCTTTGTGTAATTCATCTAAGAACAAAGATTGTAAACCGTTGGTTTTTCCCACTTTAAAGGGACACTCCACTGCCCAAATATATTTCTTTAAAGATCACTGTTTACCTGTTTAAAGATTTACTGTAGATCTAACGCAGAACAGATTTACACTTGAAATTGTATTTACACTTGAAATCACTATTTATTTTTACTCACATTACTTTTTAAAGTGCTAGAGTGTATTCTTCCCTGGGGTCCAGTGGGGCTGGCCCAGCAGGCATGGGCAGGCAAGCAGGCAGGTGAACAGTGGAGGCGGGTGGCGAGGGAGCATGTGTGTCATTTACCTGGGTAAAAGATGGTAGGATGCACTATGGGAAAAGGGCAGGTCGGTGGAGACTGTGTTCTGCTCTGAGCAATGTTCTGCTGGGAAACCTTGGGTCCTGGCATTTAGGTGGAAGTTACTTTGACATGTAACTTCTGTAGGAAAGCATCCGTCCCCAAGGCTGTTGGATCCGGTCGCCAGCTGACGAATTGTGGCAGGTGACTGTTCAGTCTGGATGCAAAGAGGTCTATGTCTAGTGGTCCCATATTTTGTTTATCTGGCAAAAGGTAGAGCGGAGAAGATGCCAGTCTCCCGGCTCTCGCAGGTATCTGGAATTCCAGTCTGCTTGTACATTGTCCAAGCACGGAATGTGTTCGGCTGTCACCGCAATCTCGTTGTGAAGGCAAAATTGCCAAAATTCCTTCGCTAGGTTTGCTAGTTGTTTGGATTTGGTGCCCCCTAGATGATTGATATAGCGGACTGCCGAGATGTTGTCCATACGGAGCAATATACAACATCTCCCTACTGTAGGGGAGAGACTGTGGGTGGCGAATGATCCTGCCAGAAGCTCCAGGCAACTTATGTGTAGTTTGGATTCTTCCATGGACCATCTGCCACCGGTGGATATGTTGCCACAACGTGCGCCCCAACCATGTAGGCTTGCATCCGATTCTATAATCAGGTCCGGGCTGGTTCTGAATATTGCTCGGCCGTTCCATATGGTCTAGCCACCAAACTAGCTCTTCCCGTGATTCCACATCCAGAACTAGTGTGGATTCGTATGAATGGCCGGATCTGAGGTGAGAGCCTTTTAGCCGTTATAGGGCACAATAATGTAGGGGCCCTGGGAAGATGGCTTGTATTGAGGAAGCTAGTAGTCCTATTACTCGGGCTAGTTGTCGAATGGAGAGGAACTGAGCTCGTAATGGGTGTCTGATCTCTTTTTTTGATGGCCTTCAATTTCGTTTCTGGGAGGAGTAGGAATTGAGAGATGTTGTCGATCTGGAATCCCAGGAACTCTATCTGTTGGACCGGGTTGGTTATGAATTTCTCCCAATTTATCATAAAACCCAGAGCCTCGAGTAGCCGTATGGTCCATTGTAGGTGGTGCAGTACTTGGTCTTGTGAGGATGCCATGATTAAAATATCGTCTATATGATCATACGAACTCCTCGTGCTCTGAGAAAAGCTACCACTGGCTTCATGAGTTTTGTGAAGCACCAGGGTGCTGAGGACAACCCGAAGGGTAAACATGTAAATCTCCAACGTCGCCCTTGCCATGTGAAGTGCAAGAGGTCCCAGTGTTCCTCCGCAATAGGGACGGTGAGATACGCGTCCCTGAGGTCTAATTTGATCATCCAATCTCCCTGTTGTAATAAATCTGAGGCAATGAATGCCTTCCATTTTGAAGTGTTGATATTTGAGGAATGTGTTGAGTTCCCTTAAGTTTATAACTGGCCGCATACCCCCGCCTTTTTTGGCTACTAAAAATAGGTTGCTGGTAAAACCCGGTGTATCGTGTGGGATTTCTTGGATTGCCCGTTTGGTGTGGAGTTCCGTAATCTCCTTGGTTATGAGTTTGGTTTGGTCTGGGGGTAATATCAGTTCCCTTGGTTCATGTGTTTGCAATGGGGTAGATATAAGGTCGAGGTAAAAACCTCTGACTGTGCTCAAAACCCAAGCGTCTTTGGTGATCTTGTCCCAAGCATGTGCAAACCTTGATAGTCTGCCCCCTATGTGTAGGTGTGAAGGAGGGAGAGATATTGTACTTACCGTAAGGGCGCCTGTACGTAGATTGTCTACGGTTTCCCAGAGTAGTCCATGGACGTCCCCTGGACGGGAAGAAGGGTGACGGTCGGAATTCCTGGTAGGTGCGGGGTGCACCGAAAGAGCCTCTATGGATCCTGGAGGAACCTCGATAGACTCGGTCGGGTGGACGGCTCCTAGATCTCCCGGCCCCGTGTAAAACCTTGGGGCTAAATATTCTTTTAAGGTTGGCCTGAGCCTTGTCTAAAGTGGTAAAGGTTTTTACAAAAGTTCCGATGTCTTTGACAAAGGATTCTCCAAATAACATCCCTTTAGCTGTGGGCCCAGGTTCTCTATTTGCCAAATTAATCAGCTTAGGTTCAATCTTTAGTAAAATAGATTTACGGCGTTCTGCCGAGATGGCTGTGTTGGCATTACCCAACAAGCAGATAATTCTTTGGACCCAGCCAATGGCTTCATCAAAGTCCATGGTGGTCTCTCCCGCTTTAGCGGATTCAAGTAATTCGTATAATTTCGTGGTTGGCCCCAGGGTGTCTAGTATTTTGTCCTGGAAGCTGTGGAACGAGAACTCCAGTCCCTTTTTGGGCTTCCAGACAGATTTTGAGAGGAACTGGGCGATATGGGGGTCCACCACAGGGGTTTTGCAGGCCAGGTCTGGTATGGAGGGTCTGGGACACTCTGCTCGGAGTTTATTCCTACTCTCGTTAGAGAGAGGAGTACGCATACGGAGCGCCAAATATTGCACGATGTGCGTTGGTGGGTCCCACTACGCCGAGGGAGGGTGGCGGAGGTCGTCTGGGTCGAACAGGTGGCTCTTGTGCGTGGCAACACGCCATCTGGGACCACCATAGGCGGGTCAATCAGGGCAGGGGATACCTGCATCAGTGGGAGTGTCGATGTATGTTTAGTTTTGGCTTTTGTTTTGCGGGTCGCAGGGACTGTTGTATCAGTTTGTACCGGTATAGTTGGCTGCAACTCTGAGGGTAATAGAAGTGCTTGAGCCAGGGAGTGGGAAATTGAGGAGGACATAGTCCCCATGGCCGAAGCTATGGCTCGCTGGACCGAGCCGGCCATAGTGGACTCCAGGATAGACTGGAATTCTTGAGAGGGTAAAATACCTGGGTCTAGGCCAGGGGTGGTCAAGGTAGTCTCAATGTTAAGGCAGCCAGGGCCTTCAATTCTCTCTCCGTGATTCTGCATTTTATTTAGGTAACTTATAGCAGAATGCCAACTATTAGTAAATCTGTATAGGTGTGCTAGGGCAGGGAGAGCCATATATCTGGTTTCTCACACCAGTATAACTAAAATAGGTAGGTGAGTACCCCCTAGTAATGGTCTTAAAATTTTTGGATAGGGTGCCTTTAATCCAGCACTAATAAAACTCCTAGCACACAGCCAGTAGTAACTGTAAGTACAGTGAAGAAAAAACTGTATAGTGAGAGATGGGGGAAAGGGAGTCCAGAGCTCTCAGGGTTAACAGTGAGAGCTTTTTAGGGATTGATTAACCCCAACAACAGTAACAGATAGGTAGTAAAGATATACAAACTTGCGTACGGAGGACAGCAGGGTCAAAGCTAGGAGCCGTTCAGCCTTCCCGCACTTCAGAGGAGAGAAGCGCGCCGAAGGTGATTAGCTCTGCCCCCCCTAGCAATGGCCGCGAGTAAAGGGAATCCTTGCGGTCCCAGACCGCCGGGCGGAAGTAAGCCCGGGGAGAAACAGAGTTGCTCGGCACCCGCTGGTTTATATCTAAGCGGGTGCCGGCAAATACAGTGAGGGAGGAGGGGGAGGGCACTAGTGAGACCGCGGACGCGCGGGCGGTGCGGTCTCACAACCTCTCAGACCCCTCTCAGCCCTGTGTGGAGGAAGAGCCAGGGAGAGAGGGAAAAGTGTCTGACCAACAAAATATAGCATTGTAGGAGACACTGCAATACAGTCCCCTGTAACAGGGGTAACATATAAACAGAAAACACTTTAAAACAAAATAATTAATTATAGTTATATAAAGAAGAATATGTAGTTTAATGTGAGGAGTACAGAAAAAATCTACTTATCTGATCTGAGGAGCAGCAAGAAAGAGGAAGTTAGAGGATTGTTCAAGACACTTAATGTTGATGAATGTATATGATTGGCTGCCCTGTTAATAGGCAGATTACTTATGTTATATTGTTTTTATTCTCTTTCAAGTTAAATTCTTTGCTGCTGAGGAGAATAATAAAGAAAGAGAAAGCATAATATGAGCCTCTGTGTCATTAATAAAATTAATACACGCCATCATATAGAATGGCAAATCTCCAGATGCCACCGGTACCATGACAAGATTGCTGTCCATCGACCCTGCTTGCCAAGATGTTATTTGTACATTTTTGTACTTTAAAAGTACACAGAAAGGTAAGAAGTGATCCACATATACATTTCAATGTGAGATTGCATCATTTAGAGTATAAAGACCCTCAGGTGGCAGATCATTATTTATTTTTATTGGGCGCTTGTTGTACTACTATCTTGTGTGTATGGTTACGTAGATTGTGCCTATGAGATAGTTAACTCTTTAATACGCTTTTGTGTGTAGCAGACTAGGGCTCCCATAAGCACTTGGTTCACTCACTGCTGACATAATTGGAGGGGCCGATTACACCATCATGGAGTGTTCAGCCAGGGACCAGAGCAGGCCATGGCAGCAGGGAGCGGAGGTAGCTACTTAACAGAAGTGCCAGCCTGCTGCCCATAATATAGTTATCTTGTAAACACAATGTTGTAGATCACGCACACAAGCTATTATTTCTTTTTTTTTACTATTTTGAGCACACTAGTAAACCTCTCCTATATATATTAAGTGTATGTCTGTGATTGTGTGTGTGTATTTATATACACAAACAACCACAGATGTACAAGTCTGTGTTTATATATCTGTGGCTGTGTGTGTATATAAATGTGTATGTGTTTAGTAGATAGCTCCCTTATTTGGTGTCCTTAAATATGTCAATCCCACATAAGGATAACAAATAAGGGAGTTATCTACTAAACAACTGAAAGTTTAAAATTAAGTAAAAGGCTTTTACATTTTGATCTTTTAGCAGTTTAGTAGATAATTCCCTAAGTTAATGCTCTTATGTGAGATTTCCATATTTAAATATGCCAAATTAGGGTGCTCTTTAGATCTAAATATGACAATCTCACATAGGGATATCAAATAGAGGAGTTATTTGCTAAACAAAGATCGAAGTTTAGAGGTGTCAGCCAGCGCAGAACAGTAAATCTGGGTGGCTAGTATGAATTCTATGCAAATGTGTTGTCTGATTGTGTGTATCTACACACAAGCACTCCACTGCATTCAAACAACACTACAAACAAACACACCTTTGTAATAAAACATCACTATTAGATATAACCACACCACTGCATCTCGCCAATACTACACACAAATGCATGCACGTATATATATGTGTGTGTGTGTGGTTTTTCTTCCTCTGGCACCTCTGGAGCACTGTACAGAAGCCTATTAATTATTTCTGAGGAAAATATTTATTTTACAAAGTGTACATTTAATGCTAACCAATAACCCTATTGCTATTGGATGTATAATTCACCTGTGTGTTCCATAATAAGGAAATGTACTTTTTAACCATTTCTCTTGGTTTACATTAAACATTCCATAGGATTCACTTTGAGCAATCTCCCTCAATCTTCAATATCATCTTTTTACACCGAATAGCCACACTTGGAATTTTTAATATGTGAATATATTCTGGTGGTTGCTTCTTGAATAGTATGTATTTTATACTATATTTGCAAGGCTCCCTGGGTTACATGAAGAGACAGTCATCAAACTACCAAAAAGCATGAACCAGAGGAAATTAAAGGAACACTCCATTTGAGAAAGCAACACAACCAGTAAAGTTTGCCATGATAAATAGTCAAACAGGGACAAGTAACCTATGTCCCCCGGTGTGCATGGTGCATCTAGTTTTCACTACCACAGTTAGCCAAAATATGTCTATAAATATAATGTACTGCCAATGCAGTTAATGCTCTTGCCAGTGATCATGGCCCTACTTGGGTCCAGAGAGCTGAACCTTCTACGGACGCCTGACAACATCAAGATTCGTTGTCAAGCGGTACTATAATGGTTTGACTACCTACCATGGGTCTGTGAAGATGCGTTGTCAAGCGGAACTACAATGGTTTGACTACCTACCATGGGTCTGTGCCAGGGAACTCCTGGCACCATAACCAATACAACCAACTGAATATTTTGTACAAATCCACATTGTGGAACTGTAAGACTGGAGTTACTAAGGGATTAGGGTGACTTAGGGGTTACCTGCCTTCAAGGTTACAATGTGGATTGTAAGATTCATGACTCTGGTAATGAAACCAATGGACCCCAAATCTAAACTCCCACACATTATCTTTCCCCTGTGTATGTCCTTTAAATACCACATCTTCTTTTGTGGCAAGTTACAGACACAGCAACATTTTGACACCATAAGTTGAATGTACATGTGCACTATAATTCTAGTTTTAATGTCTCTAAAGATATAGAAATATTATGGAAATCAAACCCAGATAAAGCATTGTGTGTAATATATATATATATTTTTTTTATATCTACAAAATAAATGACAAGAGAGCAATAAAGTAAGTAAAAAAAAACAAAAAAACACCAAAGTAATGAGTTACAGCTATGCATTCTATTTTGTTCAAAATAAAATGAAAACCGTGGCCTTTCAAACACCATTAACTGTGAGATTCATGAAAAACAGAAGCTTTAATACAATAGTTCTGTCTGTGAAAATAGACAATGTGCAGCACACAGTAGGATATATGTCACTGGTTCTGATAGCAGGAAGACATTGAAGTAGATCAGATGTGATGTACAGGAATATGTGCTTCCATTAAGTTTTCCGAGGCCTTCGTCCCGCATTGCCATCTTTACCTTGAACTTTCTCCAATATATGTGAAATCTACCTAAACCTTAACAAATGATATCAGCAGCGATATAATGACATTCAACTAAAAGCAAATGACTAGTCAGTATTACAAAGTAGAAAACAGTCTAAATGTGGTTAATTTTACTCTACCTTGTGTCCATATCATGGAAACAGAAAGATTCTTGACATATCTGGCTCCACGGCGTGGAACAAGATATGGTGTGTTTAAGAAACACTCCCGATCCCATAACAACTTCATCTCAATGGCTGCCCATTGTGAACAATGCTTTTGGAAAGGTACATATGTAAATAATCTTTGGAACCTATAATGACTTTGTTTAGATTAATTTTTTACTTGTGCTGATGTTTTCCTTTCACTATCAATGCCAGAAAAATGCACAAGATTTATTGCAGCTACTTGGAAGAATAACCATGTTGTCCAAGAGATTATATTGGCATAACATTTTATATAAGTGTCAAGTATGAATAAAGATCTTGAGAAAGCCCAGAAAATTGGGCAAAATGTGTGGATAGTTGTTGGTGAAGTTGCTTTGAATACACAATGAGAAATTTAGGTTTTCCTGGGCTGCAAACTGAAGCATATTGTAGATTATACATGTATCTGTTGCAGACCCCGGGAGCAATATCACTGTGTAAAGATTTAAAATTATATCATTTTTATGTGAATAAAGGTCCCTACATATAGACCTGCTAATGTTACTGAGAGAAAATCAGAGCAAAGTTGAGGTGAACCAATTACCATGAAAAACTGTAAATTAATCAGAAACATTCCCACTGGTTGCCTTGGTAATTGTTAAAAAAGTTTTAGAACTTTGCTCCATTTTCTATTAACACTTGCAAATCTCCCTTCTTGCTTGTGGACATCAGAAATCAAAGCGTTTCCTCTTAGCACAAAGATTTGTTCATCTGTTAGCCACAAAACTGTAATTCTTTAAAACAGATTTATTCACATGTATAATAGCTGGTGAACAATAGGTAGTTGAAGTATTTATCACGTCTCCATATGGTTAAGTCTACAAAATAATTTATACTAGTGGATTCCAGAAAGTATATAGTATGCTTAAACAGGTTTCATGCTAAAGTTCTTCCCTCTACATTGCGATTTTATTTTTATATATTATTTTTAATCTATATTATTCAAACCCAATTGAAAATCAGGTTTATGAAAATGTACAGACTTTCATCTGCTTGCGATGAACAAATTGAATAAAAGCAATTTTAATAGTTAAACACAACTAATGCTTCAAGTGGTTTCCCCAAATTCAACTGAAAATGCAATGGATGACTTCTCCAGTCTCAAAATGATTCAACTACGGAATAGAATCCCTTACAACAGCACAAATATGCAAAACAGGTGTTCTCTCAAGTACACCTGATGCAACTAATCAAGGGCTTAATTAGTTGCACAAGGTATGCTTAAGCTGGAACACTTAAATAACTGAACTAGCTAGTAGTTTGTTAAGTGTCATGTTTTACTGCATGTTACAAATATGGCTAAGTCAAAAGAATGGTCTACAAAGTTAGGGGAAGAAATCATAGCGTTTCACAAACAAGGAACAGGATACAAAAAGATAGCAAAGGCACTGAATGTTCCTAGAGACACAGTTGGAAGCATAGTTTTCAAGCTCAAAGTTGATGGAACAATGGTTACACTACCAGGACGGGGCATAAAAAGGAAGCTATCAATGGTTACAACCAGATTTCTGAGAAGGCAGGTTGTGAAAAACCCTTGATTGCCTGCAAGAGACTTGGCGGCAACAGGCACTGAGTTTTTAGTGAACACAGTAAGGCACGTACCAAACGCAGAAGGTTTTATGCCAGAACTCCAAGATGTATACCACTACTGACCCAAAAGCAATACGCTCAAAATCATATAAATAAGCCACAGAATTTTGGGGATTCTGTTCTGTCAAGCAATGAAACAAAACTATAACCCAATGTATCAGCGTTGTCTGGAGGAAGAAATGTTAGGGTGGCGGTCTTGCGACCGGGACCCCTGAGTGCCTGATGATGAGATGGGAGTCTTCAGCATGGAAGTGGGTTAGCAGGGTCTGGTGCAGGGTAACTGCACGCCCCCTGGTGTTGGGCACCAGTGTTTGTGCGGCCACATACCGAGACCCTGAATCAGCTTATGCGGATCCCAGGAACTAGGAGCTAGGAAATAAGCAGACCTTCCAGGAGCTGAATAGGGAGCAGGAATGTATCCAGTACAGAAACAAGGCTAGGATAGTCACCAAACATGAAAACAAGACAAATCTAGGAGAACCCAGAACCAGAGAAGGATAGAAAGCTAAACCCAGAACATGTACACAATACATAAGGGAAACATTAACATAACATGGACAGGACAAGACAGGACTGTACATGGACTGGGAATAAAAATAAAACAAGACAAGATATAATAGGCAATACAAGAGGAGACAAAACTAAGTACTATATATGAAAACTATGGGGATTTAGTTACATTATATGATCATACATTGCATAAGCCTGCCACAACGCCAATGTACCCCATATTCGGCAGGTCCTACTCTGCCTAATGTTTGCTAAAAGAACCATAATAAAACACATATAGCACTTACCTGCAAGAAAGGGCTGAGGACTTGAAACCACTACTGCAGGTCCAGACTGAAACAAAAGGAATCATGAAAAAGGAACGGGTGTGGCAACATAAAACAAACATTAAAATGAATCCTGGAGACTGGAAATTCCAGGGATGGAATAAAGGAATGAACCAGGAAAGCCCAGCATAAAGACATAGAATAGAAAACCAGAAAAACCAAGAAAAACTAAACAAGAATTGTAAAAAGAGTACTGATACCAGAAGCCATCACCAGACTGATCCGCAGCTAGGAACAGGATGTGACAAGAAGAATGAAGCATAAGCTAAAAAGAACACCCTGCCTACAGTTCATTGTGGTGGCTGCTTTGATTCCTTTTGCACTGGAACCTGCAGGCTGTGGAAGGCAAGATAGATTAATTTAAGTATCAGGAAATCCTAAGAGAAAATGTCAAGCTGTCTAGGAGGAAGCTGAAACTTGGGCGTCATTGGACCTTCCAACAAGACAATGATCCCAAGCATACATCAAATGTCACCAAGGCTTTGTTGCAGAAGTAGTCCTGGAAAATTCTACACTGGCCATCAGTCACCTGGCTTGAACCCCATAGAAAATCTTTGGTGGGATCTGAAGAAGGCTGTTGCAGCACATAAACCCAAGAATATTACTGAACTGCAGGCCATTGCTCTTGAGCAATGGGCTAAGATTCCTCAAGAACTCTGCCTGAAGCTGGTGTCTGGCTATGAATCCTGTTTTCAACAGGTCATAACAGCAAAAGGACTCTCTAGCAAGTACTAAATATGCTTGCCATGAAGTGGTTGAATAATTTTGAGTAAATCATGCAAAAGTCTGATTTTCATTGGGGGTTGAATACTTTTTGATTACACCTATATATATAATATATAATACCAAAGTACCAGAGTATTGCCGTATGCAATGATACCTTTTTCAACGGACTAACGTAATACTTAAAAGACAAAGTTTTGTAAGTGTTTCTCTCTTCCTCAGCTCTATTGCAGTTTGCTTGTCTTTTAAGTATTATGTTAGTCCTTTAAAAAATAAAAAAGTTAACATGGCATACTGCACTCAGGGCCGGCCTTAGGGGTGTGCAAGCTTTGCGGCTGCACAGAGCGTCATGGAGCAGGGGGCGCCGTGCGGCCGACACAGCTCACACATGGCCTGCCAGGATTTAAAAAAAAAAAATACAAATTGCGGCTGGGGCGGAGCTTCCCATGCTGCGTAGGCGGAGCTTCCCATGCGGCGGGGGTAGAGCTAAATGTGCCGGATAACTGCTGTAGGGGAAGCAGGAAGGAGTCCCTGCTTCCCTAACAAACAGTCTCCAGGAGCTGCACTACCTCCACAATGAACAGAGGTAACTATGTGTGATTGTCAGTGTGAGTGTGACTGTGTGTGTATGACTGACTGCCTGTGTGTGTGTGTCTATGTGTGTATGACTGTCTGCCTGTGTGTGTGTGTGTATGTATGTGTGACTGTGTGTGTGACTGTATGACTGACTGCTTGTGTGTGTTTGTGTGTGTGTCTGCCTGTGTGTGTATGACTGTCTGCCTGTCTGTGTATGACTGTCTGCCTGTGTGTGTTTATGACTGTCTGCCTGTGTGTGTGTGTGTGTGTGTGTGCATGACTGTCTGCCTGTGTGTGTGAGACTGTGTGTGTATGACTGTCTGCTTGTGTGTGTGTGTATGACTGTCTGCCTGTGTGTGTGACTGTCTGCCTGTGTGTGTGTATGTATGTATGTGTGACTGTCTGCCTGTGTGAGTGTGTGTGTGTGACTGTCTTCCTGTGGCTTTCTGCCTGTGTGTGTGTGTGTGTCTGTCTGCCTGTGTGTGTGTGTCTGTGTATATGACTGTCTGCCTGTGTTTGTTTGTTTGTGTGTGTGTGTGCGTGACTGTCTGCCTGTGTGTGTGGCTGTCTGCTTATGTGTGTGTGTGTGTGACTGCCTGCCCCTGTGTGTGTGTGGATGTCTTCCTGTGTGCATATGGCGCTGCCTCTGTGTGTGTGGCTGTCTGCCTGTGTGTATATGTGTGTGGCTAACTGCCTGTGTGTGTGTGTGTGTAAGACTGTATGTGTGGCTGTGTGTGTGTGTATGTGTGTAAAACTGTGTGTGTGGCTGGCTGCCTGTGTGTGTGTGTCTGTCTGCCTGTAATTGTGTGAGAATGTTTATCTACCTGTAACCGTGTATGTGTGTTAATGCCTGTACCTGTGTGTTTCTGCCTGATCCTGTGTATGTGATCATCTGCCTGCGACTATGTGCATCTGACTGTGGGACTGTGTGCACATAACTCTGCAAAAATATACACTTGCATTCACACACAGGCCTAAATGCATGTTTTTAATGAATTAAATAACCATCACACAGCCAATAAACCCAGCACAAATATCACATACAATCAATACACGCATATCACACACTGTTAATACACCCATTACAAATATCACACACAGCCAACACATAGCATAAATATTATTTACAGTCATCACACCTATCACATACACAGACAACACAAACATTACATCATACATGGATGACAGCGGGGGGGCACTGAAGATTTTTCACACAGGGCGCCTAAAGGCCTAAGGCCAGCCCTGACTACTCTGGTATTTTGGCATCTCGACTATTCTGGTAATTTGGCTTCTCAACAACTTTGATATGGCTAATCCACTCTACACATACATATACATACATACATATATATGGCATAGAAGATCCAGAGCTCTTACTCATTTACTCAACAGCTATTTCAAAACCCACATAATGTAATAGTTTTCTTTTTTTTTAAACCTCTAATGTAGGCAAAAATAATTTGTGTTAAGTTACAGTATATGATCATACATTGCATAAGTATCCAATTTTTGGCATTTTTTTACGATTCCATCACTAGATGCGCTTGAGCTGTGCAATAGGAACTAGAACCATAAATAAAGCAGGGCATGGTCCTGAAAGCTATGAGCAGGCAGATAGCATGTTGGTGATGAGGCTTGCCCCTTTTCTTGTGGGCAAGTGTAACGGACCGCCTGGCACCTCGACTGGGTACCTCCGTTACTGGATGCTCCAAGCCAATGACACCACAACTACGGCAGCTTGGTAGGGGCCTCGCCGTCTCCTATCCACCCTGAATCTACGACCAGGCTCCAGTGGGTGAACCTCTCCTCCAAGAGAGGGAAACAGGAATAAGCTCCTAAAAGAGCTTAGAAGTGATTATCCAAGGGAGCATGCAGAGCATAGCAATCCAGGACTCTAGATGAGGGTGAGAAGAACTGACTCCAATGAGTGTTTATTCCTGCTTACATACAAGTTTCCCAGCAAGGTTACCACCCACGTGGACCTTGTGGGGCACTGGAACTGTAAATTTAGCAACCAATCAAATGAAGGCACATGGATAATCACACCCACTTATTACAATATGAATCCTCCCCTCTATTTGGGAAATAATTGAGTTAATTACTGTATCAACTCAATTATGTCCAAGCTAAAAAAACATACTTTTATACAAATTTTATAACTTTGTGAGTTTACATACAATATGTATATATGCTACAATACTTAAGCTGCAAAAAATGTTCTTAGCCGGGTGCACTACCAGGGCTCCAAAATAGATAGCTGAAAGTAGATGGCTGCACTCACGGTCTTTCAAGTAAAAATTAACTTTTATTATAACATTTTAAAATCAGGCTCAACGTTTCAGTTCTCTCCAAGGACTTTCATTAGGATCATAAAACCTTTTATGATCCTGATGAAAGTCCTTGGAGAGGACTGAAATGTTGATCCTGATTTTAAACTGTAATAATAAAAGTAAATTTTTACTTGGAAGACCGTGAGTGCAGCCATCTACTTTCAGCTATCTATTTTGGAGCCCTGGTAGTGCACCCGGCTAAGAACATTTTTTGCGGCTTAAGTATTGTAGCATATATATATATATATATATATATATATATAAACTTATATTTTTACAACCAGCATAACTTGGGGACAAACATATCCAAAATTCACTTGAATCGGTTAAGTGGTTAAAGAGTTAGGTGGAAGTTCCTTTTTGGGACACTAGGTCCATAGTCATGGGGCAGAAGGCTGGCAATTAGGCTTCTCTATAATCCAGGAAAGCAGGGCAATTTGTCACTTAAAGAAACAGTAACAAAAGGCATTTTGTAACAGCAAGCCTGTCCATTATGGGTGTCACAAGTAACATGGGGTCAAAAGACTGGTGAAGCCCCCTTAGGGCCTCGCCCATCGTGTCCCAATTCCATACCTCCCATGGTTGGGAGGTATGCACTTAAGCTTTTTTTGAAACTAATTGTTCCTCAATTCCTCTACTCAGTAAATACTATTGATCTTACTAGGGTGAGTGGGGCAGCAGAGATAATTAAAAAAAAAAACTTCTGCAACACTTCTATATTCAGGGTAACATAATTTCTTCATCATACTATAGGCGTATCATGCTTTATCATATTTAAAGACATGCCAAAAGACTGAAGAACCTATCTGTTAGAAAGGGGTATCTGTAGCTTTAATTTCTTGTCCTAAACAGCCATGCGGGTGGAGCTAACGCCTATTACGAGGCTGCCATGGATCAGCCAGGACATTTATTTGCATTGTATGCTCTGACTGTGCCAGGACATACAATGCAAATAAAAATATAAAATCAGCAAAACTCAAGCCAACTTTGAGATAACTATTAAGTTGTGCAAAAATGCCATTCATGACACTTACACATTAAAAGCAGAGACAGAAATGTTATGGGATTGTTTTTTTAAACTTTTTTTTCCCTCTGGAAATATTTGCCCTGAATCTTTAAACTTCAATAATATATCAATTTAATGGTTTCTGTTGCCCCCCTACTATTATTTTATTATAGAGGGAGGCAAGACAGAGAGACAACTTACACCAAATAATGCCAAGGACAGGCTCTTCAATCACCCTGTCCTGGCCTTGGCATATTAGTCTGTTCTGAATTAATAGGCTCAAAGCTAATAAACACAGCAGGGAGATGGATGCTGTGTATGATAATGACATTAGTTTGGAGGTCTACAAAGAAGTCACATTAATATTGCTAACTTGACTATCTGTAAATATAAACTACACCAATAAATATCTGCAAGGGATAAGAAGAAGAAAATAAAGAACCTGGGTCTAAATGTCTCTAAAATCTGTTACAGTGATATAACAACCGGTCCAGTGTAGATGTTGGTTGTAAAATGTTTTTTTTACTTTTATTAAATAAAGAGTATTAGATTGCTATAACTAAAAGGAGAACACACATAACCAAAACAGTTCTTTGTTAACACAGCCAGAAGGTATTCCTTTGGTCCCTGCCACCATCTGGTGGATACTGTTCCTGTAAGGAGCTTGCTCAAGCTTGGGGGGCCGCAAAGTTCCAATTGGGTATAAATATTTCCCTAACCATAATGTACAGAAGAAATCCTGTAGAGCGGCTCTGAATGTAAGAACGCTGTTCCCCTGTGTTACCAAAATCAGGGTGCTCTTTAGTAAATAGCTCCTCTATTTTGGTACCCTGATGTTGGGTTCCCCTACCAAGATTACCAAACTAGGTGTTGTTAAGATGATAGCTCCTCTAATTTGGTGCCCTGATGTGGGGTTGCCTATTTAAGGATACCAAATGATGGCGCTATTTAGTAGATTTTTTTGGGAATAAACAAATTTATGTTGTTGTGCAGGATGTGTAAGTTGTGTTTTTGGTGACTTATAAGCCACTCTATTAGCATGACAACACTTTTAACAACCTGCACAACTTTATTAGAACAAATGCTCTTTAAATACGCATAGTATAGAAGTACAGAAACTAGTAACATCTCATGAGTAAAGAATGATAGTACCTTCACATGTTAAAGTCTGAAGTCATGGTCAGACAATTCTCTAACAGGGGATATCCTATTACACTCTTGAAGAATAACAGAATTTATTTCTTCTCTTAAGACAGGACATTATTTATGGTAACTATAGGAAAAAGAATGAGCTCTCCAACAGGATCCTATTTGTGAGCAAATAAAGCCATTTCAGTAATGTTATTGCACAGATATTACATACAATTGGAAGATCTTATGCTTGTCGTACCTCCTCTTCACTCCCATAAATGAAATAGGAACACTAGTGATATGCTTGTTAAAGATGATGGGGGTCCTTTTACTAAAAAATTCCAAAGGCTCCTGTACAGGCCAATATGTTGCACATTTCCATCATTAAAGTTTAGTTCATGCAATTCAGCGATTGGGATAATACCTTGTCCCATTTGTATATCGGTAAGTTATTTCATATCAAAGGTTATTTCACCTGTGATTCCAGTTATGAGGTGTGTCTTCTCAAATGCCACTGTGGGTTGATTTATGCTGGTGAGAACACTATGGGAGTTAAGGAGCATCTCATCAACCATCAGAGCCGAAAAGACTGAATTTCCAGTTGTAACAGATGCCCTGTTCATTGGATTTATAATGTTTTTGCTATTCTGAACCTTTTGTTGCAATAACCTTCACCTAAACTGGCATACAAATTAAAATGAACAAACTGTACCCAGTTTGTTTGTATACCAAACATTTTACTGAACGTTTCGACCACCCAAGCCAGTCGTGTGCTGTCAAGGGTGAAACAGCCTTCCAAGCCCTAAAACACACTTTGATTCATGCTCCTGTACTGGCTGCCCAAGTCCCTAACAAACATTTTGTCGTCCATACAGACGCTTCCATGTATGGACTCGGGGCAATTCTGAGCCAGGTTAGAGAGGGCGGAGGGGAGCACCCTGTCGTGTACCTTACCTGAAAATTGTTGCTCAGAGAAGTGAGTTACGTGGCAGTGGAGAAGGAGTGTCTGGCCTTAGTATGGGCCCTGAAGAAACTAACCCCCTATTTGTATGGCCAGGAGTTTACGCTCATCACAGACCACAACCCACTGGTGAGGCTGAACCGGGTTGCAGGTGATAACGGCTGGCTATTGCGGTGGAGCTTGGTGTCCCAACCTTACAATTTCTCCACCCAATACCGGCCCGGCAAACAGAATGGCGACGCCGATGGATTATCCCGGCAAACTGAACTCATTCCGTAGCAGCAGTCCGGACATCCTCAAGTTGACCCGAAAAGGATCAAGCCTGGTCCCAAGCCAGTCGTGTGCTGTCAATTGACTTGTTTGACACTGTGCCAAACCGCAACCCCAACATTCTAAGTGGTTCACTGGGTGGCCGTCGATTTGTATGCACGAACACGTGGCGGTGGCCATCCTGTTTTGTCAAACGTGTCCAGTGGGATTTGGTCGTCGAGTGTCTGGAACTATTTTCGGACACTCAATGGCCCAAACACCACTGAGACTTCCAGGACCTCTTGCTTTGTGTTAAATCATCCGAAGGAGGCGGCATACGGTAGAAACAACGTAGAAATGAAGCTGCACACTACCATCACATGCACAAACGATTATGTGAACTATTGTTTGACATTTTACAATGCACGAAAGAGACCGGCCGCACCAGCTGAATTCATGGAACTATTCTGGGCAGGAGCCTTATGTGCGGCAGGGCATAAATGGGACTTCCATCTAACTTTCGAATGCCTGAACCGATTTGGATGATTTTAAAACATGTTGATCCCCTAGATAGGGGCTATTAGAAAATGTATGTTTTATGGGGTTTGGATATGATTTTAGGGTCTTTCTGAAAATGTACAAACATTTTCATTTTTTTCGTTTGGAGATTATTGGGTTGATACAATAAGCAGAGGGGAGGGATTGTGTGTAATGTATGGGAGTGTCTCATTATATGACTCTATGTTCATTGGTTGTTCACTTTGTTTCCCTGTGCCCAACAAGGTCCAACTGGGTGGCAAACTTGTGGGGAAACTTGCATAAAAGGCCAGCATGGCCCCATTAAAAATCAGTTCTGCTTAACCCTCAACATGTAGCCTTGTCTCGTGCTTGTATGGAACCTTTTTCACAGCTAATCACTAGCTCCTGTAAGAGCTCTACTACACCTTCGACTACCGGTTCGGCTGAGATGACATCTGGAGAATATTGCAGCACAGCTCTTCCCAAGGGAAAAGGACGTCTCTAATGGCATACACCCCTCTGATACACTGGGTGGCAGTTACACCAGTATCTGAACACTTTAACCATGCCATTTCACAACTTAGATATCAAGTCATTGACAATGTGTCACCCCTCAGATGTGACGGGGGGAGGAAGTAGCATCAGATATGAGGGTGGCGGGGCAGGAAGTAGGATTACATTATTGAAACAGAAGGAAAAATGTTGAATATTTACCTTAAACACCTTGTTTCCAAAAGATTAAGTAGGAAATTTGATTAAAATACTTTTTTTATTGAATTCTAATGATGTCACCAAAACGTTTACCTTGGACGGATGCATCAATTTTTCCTATATATGTCAGCCTCACTCTATTTTTTACATTGGATGTATTCAGTATGAGTCATTCCATGCCATTGTTTCTGTTTTATCCAGATGGGCTGTTTATTTTTGCATTATTTTGAATATTGAGTCATATTAATCTTATGACCTTCCTTATGTCACATGATGAAGTTGTATTACTTCCCTACTAGGTCACATGATCATTTATATGCTTTTTAATTGGGAATTTAAAGAGCTTATTTTTGAAAATCACACATGATCCAACTGTTGTAATTTTATGCTGGGAGCTTTGTTCCAATAAGGCCTGTGGATTATACCTGCCGGTTCCTTATTTCTACAATACTCTAAAGTTCATAATGACTACAGTGCACTGCAGTGGTGCCAAAAGTGCCCCAGTGTAATGAGTCAAACTGGTTTAAAATG